TTTATTCTTAGGTCTTATGCCTTTGAACATTTTTAATAAATTCCAAATTTTACTTATGTGAGTATTTCTATTAAAAGTGTTACATAAGTTATTCCGTCCAATTTTTTTCTGTTCTGAAATTGTTCTCTTTTTCTGGGCATCTTTTCTTTTGTAATTAATATAATTTTCAATAGTAGGTTCTTTTCTATATAGTTTTAGTGCATTATATGAAGCAATAACACTTTGTTCACATATACAATTCCACCAAGGAGATGGTGGTCTGCTTATAAAAGTGTTTGTTTTAGTGAGCTTTGGAATTGACATTTCTTTAAGAGTATCTAAATGTGAACAGAAATTATTATATGTTGAAATAGGATCATGTGATTGAAGTATCAACTCATTAAACATTGTTTTTGAAAGATCTGTGTATGTTTCCCAGTCAGCTTTTTTATATATAAACCTATTTACAGGGGAATTGAGATGATATTTATCTATATCTAATGAAATCTCTGTTATTGTTGGATAATGGTAACTTCCCATAGTATCATCATGTACAGACCATTCACATAGTGATGCGAGGCTGCCACTGATGAAGCTTACATCAATGGCAGAAGCAGTTTGTCTAGGGTGATTTAAGGTTGTAGGTCTACCATCATTTAAAATACACAAATCTAAGTCATCAATTAAATAACTCCTGACCTCTACCTTTGGTTGACTGACAACCAAATGCAATATGATGAGCATTAAAGTCACCACTCATAAATATGGGCTTTGGTAGATCATTAATAATGTAACGGAGTCTATTAATTCGTATACGCCCACTTGAAGGTGGACAGTATACACAGAGAATTGTTAAACTACTATGTCCAGTTGATACAGATACAGCAACTGTTTGTATATCTTCATAAAATCTAGTATTTAATATATTATACTTAAGGTATGGTTTTATCAGTATTGCAACTCCATTATGTGCATTGTTTGAATTTTTGTTGTAAATATTATATCCTGGTATTTTAAAATTATAATCTTTAAACCATGTCTCATTTAGAAGGCAAATATCAATATTTTGTTGTTTTAAAAATTGAATTAATAAAGGTTTTTTTACTATTTGCACTTTGAATATTAAACTGAACAATACGTAGCTTGGATTGTGTAGAACTAGGCCCTACACAATCCATTATGTTAAATTTTTTAATAATGCATCTTTTATAGTTTTCATAGTAGTGGGTGTACTGTCATCTTTATTGGCTAATTCCACCAACGTCTGCACTAGGGCCATAAGTACATCGTTGCTGGCTATTATTTGGTTTTTAAGGTCCTTAGAATGGACTATTTTAACTTTATTTACATCCGACTTATTTGCAGAGATATTTACAGACTTATTTACAATAACATTACTATTTACAAGTTGTGGTTTTGGTGGAGGGAGTGAGGGAAATCTGTTTCATTGGTGGTAACTTGTTTTTTTAAGGCAACACTTGCATAAGATATGTTGCTTTTCTTTTCACTAATCTTCTTTATTTTGATAGGACATAATCTAGAAATTGCAAGATGAGGCCCACTGCAATTTACGCAGCTGATCTCGGTAGGTTTATCACATTGCTTATACAAGTGTTCACCTCCGCAAATACTACATCTTTGTTTCCCATTACAAATCTTAGCTGAATGATTGAATTTAAAACACCTATAACACTGTAGTAAAGGTGGAATGTATTCGAAAACTCTGTAGGAGAATAGATCGTATTGTACATTTTTTGGCAGTACATTAGATAAGAAAGTGATGCTTACAGTTTGCAATGCAATGCGCTCTTGTCCTACCTTCTTTGAAAACCTTCTTATTGCCACTATTTCATAAATTGAAGAAAGTCTAGTATAAAGTTCTTTGTTAGATATATTCGCTGGAACAAATCTAATGATGCCGGTTTTTTCAATTTGCGCTGCCGGTATGAACGCCTTCATGTCATATTTTGTGAGGAAAGTGGTGTTATTAATAAAATTATTGGCCGTATTATATTGCTTGAAAATAACTGCTATTTTATTGGCATTCACCCTCTGAATACCCGTCACACCTTTTATGTCCATTGCGAAAATATGGTTTAAATATATAGGGCTCTTGTTGCCCAATCTATCGTCGTTTGTGGATTCCACATACACTTTAAAGTCTGTGTTGGTTGAGTTTTCCGAATAAAGTCTTTTATAGTTCGGTTTGTAATAGGGCAGATACGCATCTCGCTCATCGCCGCAGTCCGATCGTCCAGAGCCTACGCCTCCTCCTTCATCCGTAGGCCTTGGCCGTTTTATTGAGGCGGGCGGGTGAGACCCGCCCCCCTCGTTCAGCTCCATTGCTATTATGCTCTTCAGCAGCTAATAGCAATATTTAAATTCACTTTAACTATTAAAAAATCACTATTTATAGAAAAAATTTAAAATTAAAGTCGACCGCGCTTTTTCAAGGTTCCCGCCAGCAAAGTAAAGATACCAGCGGGTACCACAGACCAAGTACTAAGTACTAGTAGAAAATAGAATAGAATAGATAAAGAACCAACCTCGAATCACAAAAACTACTCAGAGAAAATTTATATTTGAAAGGTCAAGCCGAAGGCACCGAACTAAAATATGTACTAAAATTAAAAATACTCAATAATCTAACAAACAAAAATACCATATGAAAATGACAGCCCGTTTCGTAAGTAATATTAAATGACCAACAAAAAGGTTAAGGTTCTATGTTTTTCTATAGAATTTTGTAACTTCTTTAACTTAAAAAAAATGTCTACGCAAAAACGTGAAAGAAGCGTCAATTTCAGCTGGGAAGAAGTTGACCTTCTAACTTCGCTTGTTGCTGACCATAAAAATATATTAGAAAATAAAAAGAGTGACGCAGTCACCTGGCAGGAGAAAGAGCAGTGCTGGAAGACGCTGGAGGCGCTGTTTAATAGTGGGGTAAACTTTAGCAGTGCTAAAACTTTGAAAGCTAAATACGAAGGCTTAAAGAGGGCTACAAGAAAAAGTCTGCCTTGATACATGCTGAAACATATCGTACAGGAGGTGGCCCTAGTGCTACTCCTCTTACCCCTATCGAGGAAAAAGTCAAAGACATGATATTGTTGTCTGTCGAAGGAATTGAAAGTCAATTGAAAGGAAGAGCTTCTAAATAAGAGAAAGCAATGGGCATTTAAAGAGGAAGAAAGAGAGCATAAAAGAGAATTATGGGCCATAGAAAAAAATATATTGTTAAATAAATTAGAAAAATAATAGATTTTGTGCCTGGAGCGAGGATGTATTGTAATAAAAATTTGTATTTTTATTTAAATAAAAGCATTGAATTTTTATATAATTTATCTCAAAAATTTTGTAATTTATAAAATATTATAGTAATAAAGTAAAATAATCACTTATAAGATTACTTCGCACACTTGCATTTCCCACGTTGTCAATTGCGCTTTGATCAATATCATCAGCTGGTTCATCTACTTCTTGCAGTAGTTCAAAATGTTCATCTCGCATATCAATAGCAATATTGTGCAACACTGCACATGCCACTATCACGGCTTGTGAACATACACGAAGCGAAGGCATTGTACGGGTGCCCAATATGGTCGATAAGCTGAACCGGTACATCGCAATTAGGGTCGCGAGGGCGTACCGCACGGTTTCGTATGACGCAGCGTGTGTTATAGCCGGCACCACACCCAGGCACCTCGAAGCGGATCCCCTGAGCGAAGTTTATTGGAGGAGGGCCGAAGCCAGGCACAATGGTAATGACCCTGAGCTCGGAGCAATCAAGGCGTGGAAAATTTCCGAAAAAAAACGAAGCAATAAGACAGTGGGCGGAGGATCTGGCTAGTGCGAGCGCTGGGTTCTACACCATCAACGCGTTCGGACCACATCTCGACAAATGGGTGAGGAGGCGGTGGGGCCGCCTCAGCTACCGACTCGTGCAGATACTGACCGGACATCGCTGTTTCGGCAGCTATTTACACAAGGTAGTCGGGCGTGGGGAGGCACCAACATGCCACCATTGCGACGCTGGCGTTGTTGATAACGCGCTTTAAGGTGTGGACCTTAAAGGATTGCCTAGCATGGGAGGTGGAAAGGAAGCCTCTACTGGGCGTGCTATAAGGCGAGGACGCTTCTCTCGATAACATTGTGAGAGTAGCAGTTACAAGCTCGGACAGTGACGGCATGTGAGAAATCTTCCAGAGATTCTGTGAAACCGTCATGCACCATAAGGAAGAGGCGGAGAGGGCCAGGGAGGATGATCCTGCAGCCCACCCGCGTCGCCGTAGGAGACCACAGCGTCGCCATTGCACCGTGCAACCCTGTGTGTAATCCTGGGCTCGCAGTTCAGTTGCTCCAGCGGGGGAACAGGGGCTCATGCGTCCAAAAGAAGGGATGCTGACATATTCCTGCAAGCATTGTACCCGGCCTCCCCCCAGCTCTATAAAACAGGATGAATTGGCCGATGTGAAAGACCCTTGCTGTGCCAAGGTCCATTCCACATCATTCGTGGCCGTAGAGGACCGTAATATTAACGGCTGATTCCGTGGCTGGCTGCGGACAAGGCTACGCTGTTACCGTGTCCTGCCCCGGGTGATTGCTGGTGGCGCCGTGGGGTTTTAGTGGGTATACATAACAGCGAGTCCCACATAACCCTTCCCCACCAGGTCAACCATGCCGCGGGAGGGTATGCGTAACGCATTTCTCCACGAAAAAAAAAAAAAAAAAAGGTATACACAATCAGTAACCATAGCAACGCTACTTTTGCTGTAAACAAATTGAAATGAATAGTGTGTAACATTTAAATTTACTTATTCGTAGGCACGTAATTCTAAATCAGAGAAATCGTGGTGGCTAATATAGAAGTCCAGTTTTATTATCATACCTATGTAGTAGTCGTAATTTCAAGTCCATTGTAATGTAACATGAAAATGTATATATACTCAAAATAAAAATGCCTCCCTAATCGGTAATTGTGAATATTCAGTATATATAATAGTGTGTATAAGTCTGAGTGTGCAATGAACCGGTATCTTATGCTGCAGCAGCTCGGTGACGGTACGTACGGGTCAGTTGTGCTAGCGCAACGCAGAGATACTGGAGAAAAGGTGGCTATCAAACGCATGAAACGAAAGTATTACTCTTGGGACGAAGCTATGAACCTTCGCGAGGTTAAATCTTTAAAGAAACTGAATCACGCGAATATTGTGAAACTGCGCGAGGTTATCAGAGAGAATGATACACTGTACTTCGTATTCGAGTATATGCGTGGTAATTTGTACCAGCTTATTCGAGATTCCGAGCGGCCATTTCCAGAACCGGCGCTACGCAACATCACATTCCAAGTACTACAGGGGCTTGCTCATATGCATCGCCATGGCTTCTTTCACCGCGACCTAAAACCCGAGAATTTACTTTGCGCCGGTCCTGACCTCGTCAAAATAGCCGATCTTGGACTAGCAAGAGAGACTCGTTCTCGTCCACCTTACACCGAATATGTGTCTACCCGCTGGTACCGGGCGCCGGAAGTACTGCTCCGCGATCCCCACTATGGAGCGCCTATAGATCTTTGGGCGCTGGGGTGTATTATCGCCGAGTTATATACAAGCCGCCCGTTGTTGCCTGGGAATTCGGAAATTGACCAACTACATAAAATGTGCGCAGTACTAGGAACACCGAACTGGCCCGAAGGTCATGCCCTAGCAGCATCGCTGCGCATACGGTTGCCGGCAAGTACGGGCATTCCGCTGGCACGTGCCGTGCCCCGTGCCTCCGCTGCAGCACTAGCGCTGCTCGCTGCACTTCTGCGCTTCCCACCCGGAGAACGCCCAACCGCCACTCAGGCACTCAGGTTAAAACTGTAGTCCATAAATATTTCTTTTTTACTTAGGTATTTATTTCGAGGCACACATTTGAGGAATAGGTATTACAAACACAGAAAATCATATGTCACCTACCTATTTGTGCCCACCGACACAATAGCTGCAGCTATTTGAAAACATGTTAATTTTCGTTTAATAGGTCACCCTTAGGCCCTTTTCACATGTATCCGGTCACGGCGCGGTCGCCGTGCCATGCAACGGTGCTAGCTCTTTCTCATGTATACGGTTTACACACGGTCGCCGGCTATGGTAGTCTCCGTACTATCGAGAATTTTGGTGAACGACAATGTAAAAGACATGGAACAAAAAAATATATATATATACTTCTTTCCACGCTTCTTTTGTCTCGTTCCTGTTTTTATAAGACGCGATGGTTTTATCCTATAAAGTAGGACGCGTTTCAACTAGCGAGATCAACACATCAACATCGATTTCGACAGACATTCTGCAACAATCGTCCGTCCGTTCCCCTATGATTTGCCTGTCGAATGTCATTTGTGCTCGCAATGCCGACGGAAATAAAGAATAAAGACGGTTGCCGCGTCAATACCGTGCTTATAATGGATAAGGACACGGGCGCGGTACGGCATTGCGAGCGCAAATGCCATTAAAAATTTATCCTCATGTTCTCGAAGATCTATAAACTTTATGTAAAAATCTCCCTTTTCCTTTCTCAAAGTATTGTACGGATGTATCCAATATATTCTCTGACGTATATAATGAAGTCGACGCTGACGACGTCGATACAATAGGAGTAAGGCTATCTTTTTTTGTTCCATGATAAAAGACGTTGTCGTTCCCCAAAATTATCGATAATACTGCGTCTACCATAGCCGGCGACCGTGTGTAAACCGTATACATGAGAAAGAGCTAGCACGGTTGCACGGCACGGCGACCGCGCCGTGACCGGATACATGTGAAAAGGGCCTTACGTGTCCCCAAAAAGTTAATTAAACCAAAGATTAAAAAACGGCACGTTTTGCATTACGATAGTCTTACTACTTCAACGTACCTATAATTATGACAAAAAGTAGTTTGTGTTTTTTTATTATGAGAAATATGTAAATATTTAAATTTATTTTATTTACAGATATCCTTATTTTGCCGTAGGCACTGCCTTAGTACTGGGACCACCGGCTACACAACCTAGAAGGTTTTTGCATATTTTTATTATTTTCTATTGCAGCATGTAAGAACTTTATTAAGTTCGCAATTTATTTAATTGTATGATTTACAGGAGCAATCACTATGAAGACGAGAAAATAGCCCCGTCGGCGGTCCTCGATATGGAACCATCCCGCGAAACGGGTCCAACTACACGAGGATACGTTGCGAACACATACTATGATCAATTTGCGCATGTGTTAGGGTGAGTTGTGCGACAATTTTATGTTTTCTATACACATTGGTAGCGTTTATTCCCGGATAATTAAAATGTACTGCAGCTATTGCTGTTCTAAATGTTTGTTATTATCCAATACGTAGAGGAAAATTGGTGAAAAGTGGCGGACGTGATGCGGCAGTTAGTGGAGCTGGAACTACCATGGAAACGGAGCGAGCAGCATGTGCGTATTTTGGAGCCACACGGTATGTCACTGGAACTCGGGTCGATACCTCCTTCTTCCGCAATCTACCATTACAGTCGCTAAAAGGTACGTATAACCGTTCACCTACTAGTTAATTAAAAATAGACAAAGTATAGTACCTCCGGGGTCACTTACTCTGTTTAGAGGCTGCGGCGTTAGGAAGCAATCCAACACGAGTGGACTGGGCCGCCAAATACTTGCGATGACACCTCCCCGCTTTCTTCAACAGCAGATTCCCCAATCATATCCAATGGATGATGTCAGAAGTCAGTGTTATTTAATGCATTTAATGATTGTTAACCGTCATTAACATGGTACAATAAAAATGATTGTTCATAATTTTGTAATAATTTAAAATGCTATATCTATTATTAGTTGACCTGGACAACGAATGACAAAAAATGTTGGGCTTGTCATTAGGTATAAATATCGCATGTACAAAATGTATATGTCGACAGACCGGGATCAAAAGTACCTACCGCCTTACGTTTGATAGGGTAAAATTCAGACGTCAAAAATGTATTGGATCGTATTGGATTGTAGGTACGGGAGTTACAGTTTGAGCTAAGTCTTCTTTTTTCTATGCGTGTACAGCAGTATGGATAGGTTACATTGAATTTTGGAAAATATTTTGCTTGTCAAAGCAACCGTAAACGAAATCAACTAAACACACCTTTCATCGGAAGTATGCAATATTTCCACATTATTAGTCGTACTTACCGCCGTAAGTGATATATATGTCGCAGCCAACTAGCTTAATCAGCCGTTCAATTAACAGCGTAGCCGTTTAACTAAACGGCGCCGTTTAACTAGCGGCCTGAAAGATGTTCAGCCGTAGCGTTTGTTACAACATTTAATAACAGTGCTAGGTGCGAGGTTCGAGGTTCGTCGCTGAACGACAAGACCTATCAAAGATAATTCTCGCTTAGCGATACTTGCTCAACGATCAGAACTCACGCCGAGAGACCAACCAGCGGCAGCAGTAATTTCTCTACAGGCGGATCTGAAACGTACGTATTTTTATTTATTATGAATATCAAACAATCATTTGAATTGTGGGACCTAGTGGGAGTGCCATGCTGTTGCCTTCGGGCTTCAGCCAAATGGGCAGGCACGACCGGGGCAGTACCTCTGTCTCTCAGAAACACCAATTGACCTAATCCCATGCTAAGCTGGTGAAGCTTGTGTTATGGGTACTAGGCAACGGATATACATACATATTATAGATAGATAGACATATAAATACATATTTAAACACCCAAGACCTAAGCACAACACCAAGTGCTCATCACATCGATGTTCGTCTCAGCCGGGGATCGAACCCGGGACCCATGGATTCGCAGTCAGGGGTACTAACCACTGGACCACTGAGTCAAAAAACCGGCGTGATACAAAAGGTTTGCCTTCTTGTACTCGCGTTTCGTGCGGTGAGAGAGATTCCCGGAGCCCACCCCCCTACGGATTTCTCTTGAATAAGAAAATGAAATAAGAAATAATTGAAATAAGAAATATGAATGTGGACGCACAGGCTGCCCTTCGTATTCTGGGGGGGGTAATTCTGCGCTCAAGAAAAATAGTAATCGTCCTCGGGGCAAACGGAGCAACTTTACAAAGGCAACCTCGTCCACACCCCGGCCACCTCGGCCTTGCAACTTGAAGGCTTATAATACATCTGGAAGAGTAGGTATGTTGCAGGCACCGAGATGTTGGAATAAAGAGATTTGAGATTTCTTTAAGCAACGTGGTTTCAAAGTAATTGATCCATGTTTGTTTTAGTGAGATAGACGGTAAGAAGATAGTCGTAGCTCTATCCGTGGACGATGGCCTTTTTGCACACTAAAACACTCTGCTTCAAGTTTTAGGGCAAACAGTCAATAAGGAAAATATTACCGTAATAAAGTGTACACCAGGCAAGGCACTAGGTTTTATTAGTAAATTAGCCAATAAAATAAAACTTATAATATTGATGGTCGTTTTATTACGACTAGCACACCTATTCTATAATATATAATTCTACTTCCCAAATAATTTCCATACATTTGTCGTAAATTTTAGAAACTACCCTACGTAAATTAAAACAACAAGCAATATGCATTGTTATATCTTCCGCATTAGGATGGCATTATAAAGTAAAGGATATCTTGGGGTCAAGATATTCTTTTTTTGCTATTTTAGTGCGGTTTCTAAGTTTATTCTTAAGGTCTGCTACTACAGTAGGATGATAATATATCATAACCCTTGTGTTTTGTCTGTGGAATCGGCCTTCGGACTCGTGTCAAAATATTAAAGGTGAAGTCTTATGTCACAACAATTTCATATAGAACTCGATGTAATTATAAATTTCACTCTTCTTATTTCGTGTTTAAAAACAATTATATTCAAGTTGGATTTCTAGAGTAAATAAGTAATAAAAAAACCCGATATTTGGTTTAAATCTGCATCGTAAAGAAAAAAGATCCATTGAATTGGTGCGTGCGATGTGAAGCAAGCGAAATGCGGTATTGGGCTATTTGTGTCGTTTGCTAAACGCGATGTCGATAGAATACGTGGTAGTCAGCGAGGGCGAACAAGATGAGCCCATCGAATTGCCGACGGAGGAGGATGGTTCCCTGTTGCTGAGTACTATAGCGGCGCAGTTTGCTGGTGCCAGTGGCCTCAAGTACCGAGCTGGTGGGAGGCTACGTGGACTACGGCTGGCAGATGAACATGTCTTACCGCCGGCAGAAGGATGGGCGGCACACCGTTACTTCTGTGCTTTCCCGCGCATAGAGTCGGCGACGGCAGCGTTGCGACCGCGGTGTTCGGACCTCATTGTTCTGGGCCTACCGTGGAAGACGAGTGAAGAAGCCGTACGAGACTATTTTACAGCTTTTGGTGAACTGCTAATGGTGCAAGTAAAGCGTGATACTAAAACAGGCTTGTCAAAAGGATTTGGTTTTATTAAGTTTGCTGACTATGAAGCTCAGATGAGAGCCCTTGGAAGACGACATATGATAGATGGGCGTTGGTGTGATGTACGTATTCCTAATAGTAAAGAAGGTGGATCAGCAGCTCACAGAAAAGTGTTTGTCGGACGGTGCACAGAGAGTCTCACTGCAGATGATCTTCGAGAATATTTTGGTGCATTTGGTCAGGTGACCGATGTATTTGTTCCAAAGCCATTTCGTGCTTTCAGCTTTGTCACATTTTTAGACCCAGAGGTTGCTCAATCTCTCTGTGGACAAGACCATATAATTAAAGGTGTGTCAGTGAACATCTCAAGTGCATCACCAAAGCGTGAACGTGGTGCACGGTCACAGCTTATGGGGTGGGGACTGGTGGAGGGTACTCCTCGGGTCTACAGCTGGCCACCTGATGCTTGGCACCATTCTGCTCCGCTCACTGACACCAAACCCTACCTCAAGTATGAGTAACTACTGATGCGCCTTGTTGATTGTTTATAGTTTTTATATTAAAGAGCAAATATGTAAATAATGATAATGTAAAAATATTAATACAGTATATTATTATTGAATGTTAAGAATATTTTTTATGAATACAATCTATATGAGTTGAAGTTTGAAAAATTTCTATGCATAGTTAAAATTTTTAGCAAAACAAAACTGAACTTTTCCTTAATTTACTCCACTCGGTTATACTAATTTGTATAGATACATATATACAAACTGTAAGCTTAAAATTAGAAAATATATATTTTTACACAAGACTGTATATTTAAAGAACATTATTTACTACAGCGTGACTTCACTAATGGTTAGAATAGATTTTTGCAACATTCTAAAAGTATTCATGCTTTAAGTTTCTCAGGAATATAAAAATTTCTGTACCTTCTCAGTCAAAATTCACAATGCCTAACTTTACTCTTATTGTTGCTTCATTAATTTACTATAATTGATAAATTATAACTATGAAATGTGTGTTGCCAATGTTCATTTAAATAGTAATTATAGTAAATTATAACTGTCCCTAGTTCCAATATATGTGCGTTATCTCCTCATTCATGCACATGACAATATATGGTAAAGTTTGTGCTAAGGTTGCATCACAATGATGGAAGGTTCGTTTCTTTGTGTTCCATATCATCAGTAGCCTAACCTTTGTTCAATATATAGAAAATAATCTATGGAAAACCCCCTAGTGTTAACGTACAAGTACTGCTGGACAGTTCACATGTGGCTATTAATTATTACAGTTCGAAGATCACGTTGTGCAGTGTGGCGTTGATGAGTAAAGGACGAAAAGTTGCGTATACAAGCTATGTTAACCGATTCTCGTCGTATGAAACGACCAAACGCTTTTCTTGTAGTAAACTTTGAAAACGGTATGTATTCAAGGGTATCAAAAGGCATCTTTCTTTCTATTTCAGGGTTATCAGTTATTCGCCTGGGCTTGGTGTGGGTGTGAGTTTTCGTGGCATTTCGGTACCATTTTACCGCCACCAACTCGCCGTTCAGTCGGTGTAGGCCACTATAAAATCTAATATAAGTAAAAGCAAATTGTCTTCATGAAATAACCGAACTTTTTACAATTATTTGCTTTGCAGAGTAATTTCGTTCTGTAAAAGGTACATCAATCACTGCGTTGAAAGGCGTTAAAAGTAATGAGGTTAACATATTATCCACCCAGCACCAAGTGAGCCTGTTATAAAAGCAATAAATTGCCACTAAAATTCTATAATGATTTATTTAAAATGTATAGTCGTATTAAGCGAAAATTATACTGCTTTGAAGCAAATCCAAGTATGCTTCTAAACTTGCAATAATAAATTTTTCTTTCAATCATAAGCTGGACTTAGTGAGGCCAAATTCATCAGGTGTGGGTTGAGAATTGAGTTTGGATATTTGTTTGAAGGCAGGATGATTTTTGTCTTTCATTAATTTAAACAAGACATTTTCTGATGTAGCAACAAAACAACCAATGGACTGGAGACGCTGAAACAGAAGAATCAATCAGTTACATAAGCTTAGAAGGGAAGGCTATTTAAAGATACCTTCCCAATTTACTTAACAGTAGCATGTGCTACTGTTAAGTAAATTCCTCAGTTTATTATTTACGCTATGTGAAAAACATTTTCACCATATGACGTGTTAGGTATAATGTGACACATACCTACAGTGAGATGTTTCTCCAAGATGCTTTAGTAAGTCTACTGAGAAGAAATACGAAGCATTTACATAATTCCAAACATAGACGCTGTGTAGATAACACAGATTATGTCTTAGAAATTAACAATGGATTAATTTGTGAGACTATTTAAATTGCCTTTGATAATATTAAATACTGTTATGAATTTGCGGCTGACCCGGCATTGTTGGAATTATTCATATAAATTGGCCAATAAATAATAATCATAAAAAATAAACAATTTTTGGGTTAGGTCTCCCTTATCACATAGGAGTACAAGAAAATAGTAAACAACTTATTCTCAGATACCTACCAAATATAACTAAAAGAGAATTACAAAAATTGAGCCCTTTTTAAGCAGTTTGGTGATAAAATGTTTGACATTATGTTACTATTTATACTAACATTTGATATCAACACTTTATGGCAAAACTGTAAAGAATTTGGTGTTTCTTTGTTAAAAGATCAGTGATTAAAGTATCAACTGGGAGATACCTAAAGAGCTAATGACCTTTGAGACAAAGCTAATTTCCTAACAATACAATACCTTTAATCCTAGTTCTCGGTCCATAAGTGACCTTGAAGAAACTCCGTCAGCTAATACATGAACAGATAGATCCATATTGATAAGGTCAATCACAGTCTGTTCAATACATACATGGCACTAAAATACATATACCTATTAATATTTTATAATTACCTTTTGAGGAATAGAAACCAATAAAACAATCAACTTAATTTCTGGCCCCTACAAAATTATTATAATATATAATTATTTATTGACAATAAATTTTACTAATCTAATTTTATGTACTGTGTTTTATTAACAAAATGAGTTTTTTTCTTTATACTGATTGCTGTACAGTTTTTTTTTTCCTCCACAAGTCTTTTTAATTCTTTAGTATTACTTGTAGTATTATTTATCTTACTTTAGCTTACTTACCTCTATTCCAAATAATACAATGGAACTCAAACCTGGAACATCTTTTTTCAACCTCCCTTCTAGTTCTGGAGTAACCATTGAAAATTTAGTTTTCTCATAGACCATTGCGGCTTCCCCTATGTTAATATCTTTAGTGGTGTGGCCTAACCCTTTAGGATACTGTTCGGATACATATACAGGTATTTGGAAATGTTTTGCTGCCTCTACCTGCATAAAATTTTACAACTTACAACCAACACATATTAGTGTTAAGACTTAAGAGATAAGTATAATGTAAGTTTACAATAAAATATTACTTATGTTTTTATTAATGTGCTTTCACAATAACTTAATTGTATAGATGTTCATGCGTTAATAAGTATATTGGTAAGCAGATGAACCGTCAAATTAAGTTAGGGAATAGATTATTGAATTTAGTTACGTAATAATAATAAGTATAATTACCATTTTGTTGGCTACTTTTACAACTTCGCTAAAATATTTAATGTGTGGTCTAAATACTTCTTGTATGTCACATAAAAGAAACGCTGTTTTCTGAGCTTCTAAGGCTCCTAATTTTATAATATTCCGAGCCATATTTAAAATATTTACGGAGACAGCAAACCCAAGAATTTGCTGTGTTGTTTGATTATAAACCTATATAGTATAAATCCTAAACACAGTTTAAGTAGAGCCGCAGTGCTGCCAGATGAAAGAAAAACATGATCGTACACCAACTACAAAAAAATCGTATTCCAAGAAAATTTTGAAATGAAAAGATCGTACAACATAAAAGTGACTGGCTGCCTTTGCCTTGAAGAGTGTAACTTTAAAACTCCTTATTCTGAAGCCATTTCGACGTCACAAATAGTGCACCTCGCTTTAAATTGGTTTTACCGGGCCCTAACCAGTCCTTATAATAATAATAAAAGCCTTTATTCAGACAAAAAGTTTTACATTATTTTAAACTTAAACTATTATCACTAGTGAGTCGGTGACACCGACAACCCATCTCTTTGCCCAACTTTGGCAAAGGCCTCCTCCATTTCTTTCCACTCTGCTCTGTTCTGAGCTTTCCTAGTCCATATTTTCCCAGTTACGGATTTTATTTCGTCTTCCCACCTTCGAAACTGTCTACCTCCTTTTCTTTTCTTGGGTACCAATATATGATCTTTTTGTTCCACTTTTCTATACCTCTTATTATATGACCAGCCCATTTCCATTTCAATCTTCGTATCCTCGTTGTGACGTCTTCAATTTTCGTGTGGTTTCTTATGATTTTATTATTAATTCTATCGGACTTCCTGATATTTATTCTTCTTTCCATCACCGTCTGGCATGTCTTCAGGTGCCTGGTTTGCATTTTAGTGAGTGCCCAAGTTAAGTTTGGCAGCCGTATGTTAATACTGGAAGTATGCAGGTGTTTTACAGCGTTGATTTGACGTTTATTTTTATTTCTGTGTTTTTCATGATTTCCCTAAGCCCCCAGTAACATTTCCATGCTTTCCCAATTCTTGTATCAATCTCCTACGACATTATACCAGTGGTTGAGATCTGTTGGCCCAGGTATGTGTATTTTGTCCCCGCCTCCGCGTATGGATTTACCCGCGGCTCCTAGGCTTGTCGTGCCGGGGGGGGCCAGTATCTGGAGCGAGCGCAGCAATGCCGTCGCAAAGGGGAAGCAAATAAGGAGGTAAAACAGGCTGGCCTTTATTTTGGAGGCCGGTCTCTGGAGAGGGCATCAGCGCCCAGCGGAAACGAGTCCGCTAGTCCCTGGCAAGCTGGAGAGATCATTTGATCTCAAAGGTGAAACTGAGGGACCTTGCTTTGTGCGGGGGTGACAAGGGAGGAGGTCCATTTTGTCGCGCTACTGCGCACTTGTCTCTGGGACTCGGCTGCTCTCGACTCTTTCTTTCGTAAGAACCATGCGAGATGCGGTGTAGGTGTATGTATGTTTTGTTTTCTGGGGGGCAAAAAAGCATCTTTTGGCGATATTTTTTTATTTTTTTTTTATTTGGACCACAAAATTAGGACAAACACATGATATAAATTGACATACATACATAAATATCAAAAGCGGTGCCGTCCCTATAACATGTGGACACGACCAGCGAAATCAAGTAGATACAAAAAACAGTGTTAAATACAAACAAGCATAAAAATTAAAAATGCAAACTATAAAAGAATTAAACTATTTGAACCAAGAAAATAAATTATCGGTACTGTGTCCTAATTCTACTCTTAGCTGAAGCCAGAGAACCGTGAAAAATGTCAAAACTCTGTGCAATATCATTATGGTAGCGACATAACCTATTAATTGGTGAGTTTCTGCCAACGTTTGTTCGACAATGTGGGATGTGAAAACATCTTCGATTGTACAAACGACTCCCGACCCGAGGAACTTGTATGGATAAACTTTCTAAAATTTCTGGGCAATCCACAATTGCGTTAATTACTTTAAATAGGTATAGCAAGTCGATGTTTGCTCTACGAACACTCAGAGATTCCAAGTTATAAAAATTTAACCTATCCTCATATTTACTCAACATTGCACATTTATTATTTTTAAAGGATAGATGGTATAAAAACTTTCTCTGCACCCTTTCCAGCCTCGCTGAATGGGTTAAATACATTGGAGACCAGACACAACTATTGAACTCCAATATGCTTCTAACGAGGCCGGTAAAAATAGTAACTGCGACACTGGGATCGGTAAGACTCCCAGTTATTCTGGAGATAAAACCAGAGAGCTTTGAGGATCTTTTTATAATACTATCCACATGCTCCCTAAAACTTAGTGAACTATCCATAATGACACCCAAATCTCTTATTCTTTTAACCTCTTGAAGTTTCTGGCCCCTTATGTAGTATGTTAATGGTGAAGATTTCTTTTTGTTCGAAAATTTTATGCAGCAGCACTTTCCTTCATTTAAAATCATTCTATTCAGCCCGCACCAAATGTTAACTTTGTTTAGTTGCTCCTGCAGAAAATCAATATCTATATCCTGTTGAACATGTTGGTATAATTTTAAGTCATCAGCGTACATTTTAAATTTGCACTTCAAATTATATGCTAAGTCATTCACAAAAATGATAAAGAATAAAGGCCCTAAGTGCGATCCCTGTGGTACACCCATAGGTATAGGCTGACCGTTAGACACATGCCCTCTGATCTTTACCAGTTGTGTCCTATTTTTTAAGTACGAGTCACACCACCTAAACAATGCCCATGGAAAAGATCTTCTGCAGTAGTAAATCGTGGCAAATGAGGTCAAAAGCCTTACTGAGGTCGGTGTATATTGCATGGATTTCCTGTCCGTTGTCGATTCCCTTCGCTATGTCCTCAGTGAAACCAAGCAAATTCGTAGTGGTCGATTTCTTTGGCATGAAACCATGTTGCTCTGGGTGTATATTCTGTTTTACATGCCAAAAAATTCTCTGCTGAATAAGAGACTCAAACACTTTTCCAGGTGCTGGTAATATTGAAACTGGTCTATAGTTCTGAACAACGTTTCTATCTCCACCTTTGTGAATAGGTGTTACCCGAGCAGCTTTCCATACGGTAGGATACACACCTTGACGCAAAGACTCGTTATAAATCATGCATAGGGGAATCGATATATTTTCGGCACATTTCTTTAGCACAACATTAGGTATATTATCTAACCCTATACCTTTGTTTGCGTCTAACTTCCTAATGGCGGTGCGAACTTCAGATACTTCCAGGATCACATTATGCAACGAGGGATAACACCCAGTGACTAGACCTTCAGTTATTGGAGAAGAAGGATCTATATCTGAAGATGTTGTTGTTAATGAGGGTTGTAGCTGATATACTGATTGAAAGTATTCTGAGAATAAATCGCATATTTCTTGGCCACCATTCGCCTGTTTAGAACCCCAAAGGACTTGGTTTGGTACAGAACAACTATTATGTTTTAAGTTATTAACGTAGGACCATATGTATTTTGGATTTTGTTTCAAAGCTGAGGCAGCGTTCTCTTTAAAAGTTCTATAGCACTCCCTAACCATTTCATCATATCTTCGTCGTAATATATCGAATGTTTGTTTGTCTCTTGGATTTTGATATAACCTGTATCTTTTGTGATATTTAAGTTTATCTTTCGCGCATTTAATTAGGGGTCTACTGAACCAGGGAGGGTATGATTCACATTTTGGCATGGTACGAGTATATGGCGTATTTTCTTTCAGTATTGGTAAAACTTTTGCATAAAATTTTTCCACAATTTGATTTATGTCTGCATTAGATCCCAAAATCTCAGTCCATTGTAGATGAGAGAGAGACTCGTCAATTCTAGTAAAGTCAGATTTATTAAAATTTAAAAAGGGAATTCTTTTATGCTTAAGATATTTTATTTGTCCTTGCGCTACAAGCTCGATTTCAAGTGCAGGGTGGTGACTGTCCAAATATATAATAATAATAATAATAATAATAATAATAGCCTTTATTTCCAAAACTTAACTATAATAGATTAGAACTTTCATTGATTTTGAATTGAAAAATTAACTTTTAACATTACGTAAAATACACTTTAACATTTAGGAATAATCATTTGTTTGTGAGGTTTTGGTTTGTCCACCGTTGGACATAGGCCTCCTCCATCCGTTTCCACTCGTGTCTGTCGTGGGCCAGGCGCGGCCAGGTGACCCCGGCAACGGCGGTGATGTCATCCGCCCAGCGCCGGCGCGGGCGCCCCTGTGGACGGACGCGGGTACCAGTGCAGCATTCTCTCGCTCCATCGGTTGTCGCACTTTCTTGCTGTGTGCCCCGCCCAACGCCATTTCAGGCGGACCACCAATTTAGCTGCATCTATTATTTTTGTTTTCTTTCGTACTGTTGTACATTGAATTCTGTCTCTAAGATTCAAGCCTAACATGCTCCTTTCGGCTGATCGTTGAAATGTTTGGATTTTCTTTATTATTTCAGCTGTGATAGGCCACGATTGGCAGCCGTACAGTAGTGTAGGTGTCACAACAGAGTCCATCACTTTTTTCTTCAGTGGTAAACTCATTTGAGACTTGAAAATGTGCTTGTGTGACCAATATGAACTCCAGGCTTTTTTAATTCTTCTCTCTACCTTCTCTATATAATGGCTTTTAAATGATATATTTTGACCAAGGTAGACATACTGGTCAACATATTCTATATTTCTACTGTTGACGGTTATACTGTATTTTATGCCATTTGTCATTATGCATGTTTTTTCAGGGTTCATTTCCAGTCCACACTCTCTACTTGTGTCTTCTAGGGATTGAAGCATGTATTGTAAGTCTTCATGCTTTTCAGTTATTAAAACAATGTCATCTGCGAACCGCAGATGGCTTAAATTTTCGCCATTGATATTTACTCCCAACCGTGACCAATCCAGCTTTCTGAAGATGAATTCCAGAAGTGCGGTGAATAAATTGGGCGACACGGGGTCGCCCTGCCGAACACCCCTTTTCAGTTGAAACATGTTGCCTTTCTCAGTCACCGTGACCACGCACGCTGTAAAGCACGCGAAACGTCGGATAAATTTAAAATTATGTTAAATAGTTGTAAATTTATAATAATACATAACTTCAATCCGGTCAAA